ACACACACACACACACACACACACACACACACTTATGTTTTCATCATACAGACACATTCTGTCTGTTCTTCACTTGATTTTAACCTTGAGATTTATTTTGTAGAAAAAACTGAATAGAGGAGAGTACCAGGATGCACAAGAGTTCGCTGCAGATGTCAGGTTAATATTTTCTAACTGCTACAAATACAACCCTCCCGATCATGAAGTGGTAATCGGGGCCAGAAAACTTCAGGTGTGTTTTTCACAAGTTAAATTGTTGATGATTAAAGTGTTGTCTGGTTCTCTAGAGTCCGCTTTACTCCTCATTCATTTTCTTCTTCCTCCCAGGGCGTGTTCGAAACGAGGTTCGCTGCAGTGCCGGACGAAACTGTGGCGTTGATTTCAGCAGCGAGCGCTAAGTCCACTAAGAATGCAGGTTTGAGTCAGAGCAGTGGCAACCCTTCCTCCAGCAAGGACACATCAGACTCTGAAGAGGAGCGTGCCACAAAACTCGCTGAGTTGCAAGAGCAGGTGGGTGCAGAACAGGTGGGTTCCTGCACAGATCTCTATGCTCCAAAAATCACATTTGCATTTTCCAACATTTAAGTTGAGGAATAATTTACAGAATAATTTGTTTTTCTTTGTTTTATGGCAAATAACTAATTACGGTCATATTAAAATAACTAACTAGAGAGTTGGACTCAGTGGAGGTTAATGCTCTGCTGAGTTTCATTATAGTTCTTCATCTTGCATTCTCTCCAACTTCCTTGTATTCAGTGCTGGTAATTTATCTGTGACTTTTCTTGTGGCCCCACCGTGACTCTTTTCTGTTGATTCTTTAGCTCAAAGCTGTTCACGAACAGCTCGCTGCCTTCTCTGAAGTGCCTGTGATTAAACCGAAGAACAAAAAAGAGAGGAACAAGGAAAAGGACAGCAGGGGAAATAAAGGGAGTGCAAATTCCAAGAGTGCTCCACATTCCAGCTCCAGGTTTGACACATTTCATATCTTAAGAGCTTTGTTTTCATTGTGTCTTAGCTCCATTGAGGACCTTGACCGCTGTGTATTGACCCTCAGGCTCTTGTGGAAGGGAAGCAAAGACCGGGGCTCAGATGAGGAATCTCTGCCAATGACGTACGACGAGAAGCACCAGCTGAGCCTGGACATCAACCGGTTACCTGGCACGAAGCTGGCCCACGTCGTGCAAATCATTCAGACACGAGAGCCCTCGATGTGCGATGCCAACCCGTACGAGGTCGAGATCGACTTCGAGGCACTGAAGCCGTCCACTCTGTGGGAGCTGGAGAAATACGTCAAGTCCTGCCTGCAACAGAAGTTTAAGAAGTTTCAAAGTAAGTGCAAAAGCCTTTCCACCACCACATTCTGACATTTGACTTCAGTTGGTTTTGAAATGAATTAAAATGATAGGATCCATTTAGCATTGAATTGCTTTTGGTTCTTCTTTCTTGCAGAGAAAAGCAGCAGAGCTGCGTCTCATCCTGTCGGCAGCAGCAGTTCTTCAGATTCTGCCTCCAGCAGCTCCAGCGGCTCCACCTCAGACAGCAGTGACTCATGACACCTGAACTGTTTATTTATTGCTTCTTCTGCGACCAAATGAGAGTTCCTCAAAAGTGTTAAACACCTTTATTTTTGTATTTGTTTAATGTTCCCACATCATAGTTTGTTGTGTTTAGCGAGGGCTTTTCTCATTCTCTGTATTTATAAATCAAATACTCACCACTGGCATTTCAGACGCTATGAAGCTACAACATAGCCTGACAGCGTACGTCCTAATATCTGGGTTTCAACCAACATCTTGTCCCTGTCGTCCATACTGTTTAATTAAAGGCTTTCTTCTGCTGATGCTTCGTCTTGACCAGTTTACTCACAGAGGGAGGGAGGGAACGGATCAGGGGCAGGTCATTGGCAAATCGAAATATAGACAAAAGAAAATCCTCAGCATTTGCTTTGGGTTTATTTTGCAGAGAAGGTGTAAAATACCTTCAGCGTTATTTTCTTTGGTAAACAGCCCAGCGGGGAAAGTAAATGATGACTCCATTTTCAGCTGCCATGCCAACTGCCCTGCAGACGCTGGCACGTGCCCAAGATCTGGTGCCACAGCTGCTTCCTCCACCGGCTCACGCTCCACTGGATCTCAGTGATTTGCTCCTTTCAGCTTGGACCTAGAACCAGCGGAGCGGATCCTTCGGGGACGCTTACATCAGAAGTCTTTGTTAGTAAGGCACTGACTCATACTGGATCAACGCTGTCGACACCCTGCATGTTTGTGACTGCGTGCAGTTTGGTGCTCAGCCAGGAGATGGCCATCATGCACCATCCTGGGATTTATAGTTTTCACAGTCCAGCTTCTGTTTTTGAGAAAACCCTGCAGTTGTGGGTTTTATAGCAGATGATGGATTCATTTCTTATTTATTCGAAGGATTTTAATTATTTATCACTTTTCATAAAGACCTGTCATTCATAGAAAACAACAGAAAACTAGTTTAGCTCATTTTTGTCGGACAGCTGTGAAGGATGTATCCAACATGAATCAGTTGTGAGTTGCTGCTCACAACTGAAAAATAAATCAAGAATGCTGCGATGGCCTGTTGGCGTCCTTGCAGGGAGACGTGCTCTGTGTGACCTGCATCACCATCACACCACATGGAACATGCCACCAGGCGGCCCAGCAGCAACCTTGGAGCTTGATGGATCAATGCCGCAGCTTCAATGGCAACTCGTCATTTCTGCCATTTCTGGCCATCACTCACAGAGCATGGATCCCATGTTAAAAAAAGACAACACACACATGCAGGATTCTCCAGACACATGACATAAGAGACTTTGATTAATGGATCTCTGGTTTTCATTTTCTTTTCAGCACCCTGTGGACGACCACTTGCGGTGGGTTAAAAAATGGAAACTCAATGAGTGTGGTCTCACGGTGTCAGTTTGAATCATGGTGGATGTCAAGTGAACTGCACATGTATGCACTTCTGTTAAGTAAACGATTTATGCTAATGTGACATATTAGAAATTTTAATTGCAAATTAGCTGCTAATACAACTGTTCTCTCTTCTTCTTATTTCACATGCTCAGTGTTTAACAACATGCACTTTCTTTTTCTTCCAGGAACAGATTTTGCTGATGATGTGATTTTGTATCCCTGCACTGCATCATGGTCAAATGCACTAAAAGACTCTTCACATATTAATTTCTGGGAGCTTCCAAGGACCTAAGCTCATACGCAGCAGTATCCCTGGATCGGGGACTGCATGCCTTGCACAGAGGCACATAAGTATTAGCTGCCGGGGGACAGGAGAGCATTACTCTGTTCCTACATTCATTTTGCAGCCATTGTAAGAAAACAATATACAGTATTTACCTTTTAATTGTTCAGGCTGCAGAGCATCACGTGAAGACAGAACAGAGAACACATGCTCTTCTCTTTTTTAATCAAATACCACGGGCACTACTCTCCACACTACCTTCTGTTGCTGTGTGGGTGTGTGTGAGAGTGTGAGTGTAAGCGTAAGCATGGCAACAGGGTTCCCTCTGGAAAAAAGGCACCATTAAAATGTATAAGCCACATTTTAGGCTGATGGGGCTTTTCAGGAGGTCTTAAAAGGTGAAAGGTTCAGTGTGTAAGATTTAGGTGAACAGGTTTTTTGGCAGAAATTGAATTTTAAATAATAAAATAATGTTTTCACTGGTGTGTTTCATCTAAATTGTATGAATTGTTGTTTTCTTTCTTTAAGACCTTTATATTTACATGGAGGGAGGTCCTCTATGTGGAGGCCGCCATGTTTTCTACTGTCGTCCAAACTGGACAAACTAAAACCTTTTGAGTTTTCACGACAACTGAAGTTCACCACAGCTTCTCCTTCATGTTGGGGAGGGGAGGGTGAGATGAGGAGTGTTCAGCTGCAACGTGCAACTTCACCTCTAGATGTCACTAAATTCTACACACTGAACCTTTAAGTGATCCTTAGTTGGCCGACTCAAATACTGGGACATCAACCTGACACATTTTTATAAAGTTTGCATCGTAGTGTCAGAGTTACATTTATTAACACAACCGAGGGAAAGCAAGTTGCAACCAGTAAACCATCATAAATACAAGATTACTACACATACCTGACATGTTACACTCGTACACTAGTATTCTTTCAGAGTATTTTCTGATAATTACGTGTCTGTGCCAAAATCTACAGGCTCCATTTGAACAGTTTTATGGCATCACCAAAAAAAAAAACCACAGGTATGATGAGACAAGTTGAAACAAGCTGTTCGCATTTTCCAGTAGCAGAGTAATGAGAGGAGTCTCTACCACAGCTAGTGTGGTGGTTTGAGTTGCTGCACTTTATTAGGAACACTTGCTAATTAATGCAGTTAGTCAAGCAGCCAATCACAAGACAGCGATACAAACACAGACACAGGTCAGGAGCTTCAGCTGATGTTCACATCAAACATGAGGATGTGAGCTCAGTGGCTCTGACTGTGGTGGGATTTCTGCTGTTTGCGAAAAACGTTTGTGAACCTGAATAAAGAGTTCTTGCTCTCGTTGCTTTGCTTCAAAAAAAAGTTAAACTCTGCACAGAAACATTCAGATTGTTTTTGCCTCCTGGAGCCGATCCTCTTAACTCACTGGTCCCACAGGAAGTAAGTGATTTTGGCATTTCCACATTTTGAATCCTTGTACGTCCCGGCCTCCAGGCTTACTGACAGTCTCTATTTGGTCTTTCTGAAACTCCTCACCTTCGGTTGAATCCAGCATTTTGGTTACAAATGTGTTCTCACAAAACTGAGATCAGATCAGTTCCTCAGACTTTACACACTCCAGAGGAACTGAAGACATTTCAACTCCTTTTGTTTGCATTCAAATGTGCATTAGCACCTTGCACCTGTGTTCTGAAAGATACTAGTCTTTATAAATACAGTTTATTATCATTATTATTGTTATGATTTGCTGGAACTGGCCCTTTAATCCCCCTGTACCCCGTGCAGTGTGCTCCACATCCATCAGAGGGCGCATCCTCGCCTCCTGGCCAAACAAACTACTCCCTGGAACAGTGAGCGAGGAGCCACTTCAACAAAGTGCCGGAGACTCGCGACCCAAGTTTTCACCTTTACGCGCGACAACCTGCACGTGTGAGCGCGTCACCGAGCACAGGGGACAGCACCGATCCAGGCGCGCGGAGGGGTTTCCCACCCGGGGTTTTGGTTGTTTACGCACGGACTCCGGAGCTGGAGCCGGGAGCCGGGGACCGCTGAACATCTCCGTCCGAACGGGAAACGAGGAGAGGGAGACGCGAGTGACGGAGGGGGAGAGAGGACGCGAACGGAAGGGAGGCAAGAAATCACAGGAAAGCAAAGCTGTGTGTGCGCGTAACGCTGTTTCTGGGGCGTGCGTAAAGGCGCGAAGCAAAGGAACGTTCATCGGAGAATTAAACGAAAACGCTGCCGCTTTCCCCCCCTGTTTTCTCCGGGCATGTTTCCGCGACACGCTGGGCGATGTTGAGCCGCTGTTGTGGGGAGCGGGTGATTCTCCAGGCGCCGTGGACACACTCTTCTGTGTTTAATCTCCTTTTGGAGCTGGAATTTACCGCAACTTCTTGTTTTTGACGCCAAGAAACGCACGATGCCGTCGGGTACTCTGGACTTCTACAACTAAAACAGACTTGAGACGCTGTTTTGCGTGTGTGTGTCTCCCCACATCGTGTTGTGTCGGTTCACTGAAATGTGAGACACTGGGGAAGTCGGTTCATGACAAACCGCTGCGTCCAGCTGTTTAATCCTCCTCTATCGTCACCATCCATTCACACCCTCTGCTTTTGGATATGCTGGGGAAACTTTTTGAGGATGAAGAAGGTTCCCGGAGCCCGTCTCCGTTTTCTGGTCACGCCGCCGTCTGCTGAGCCCGATTTCACCAAACCGTGTTTTCATCCGAGTCACGCTTTCACCGTGTCCACGCCGAGGGGACAGGAGAGCTGACATGCGTGTGGAACGGGGACATATCGCGCTGTCCTGCTGCCATTAGTCGAAAGTTGTGAAACTGCCTGTTTACCGAGCTGATTGTGAATGATTGAGGACCCCCGGAGCTGGTAGGGAACCGACCCCACAGCCTGCTCTGACGCCGCGAACCGCCGCCCTCAGCGCGCTGTGAACCAGCTCGCGGACCCGGTTACTTTGCGAGGAGAGCCCCCCAGAGCAGCCATGGAGGAGTGGAGACAATGTGGGCGATGGTTGATAGACTGCAAGGTCCTGCCCCCGAACCACCGGGTCGTGTGGCCCTCGGCGGCCGTCTTCGACCTGGCACAGGCCCTGCGAGACGGGGTGCTGCTGTGCCAGATGTTGCACAACCTCTCGCCGGGGTCAGTGGACCTGAAGGAGATCAACTTCAGACCCCAGATGTCACAGGTGAGTCGCTTTAAGCGTTGAGATGATGGGGGTTTGATTTCCACCTGCCGTGGATCCAGAGAGGTTCTTCACGCATTGCTGCGATTGTTTGGAAATCTGAATCTGACATTTTACAGCATCTCGTTCCAGCTGCTGCTCAGATTTTTACGCAGGAACCTTCCTGTCACAACAAGCCCGGTTCTTGGCCCAGGCCCACAGATCTCCTCTCAGTGTTATGTCAGTGTTTCATGGCGCTGCAGTGGCAGCGTCCATTCACTTTTGCACAGAAACGTCTATGAGAATAAGGTGTGACCATTAAACACAGGTGGAGGGTTCTGTACCGACCAGGCCTCGAGTGTGATGATGGCTCTACATTTCAGTTCCCTCCTGTCTTCTGCAGTAATCACATGGAATTAGATGACTAGTGTTGTTACAACACATTTCGCAGCGCAACCTGCTTATTTCCATGTTATCAGGAATACGTGGGACGAGCCGGGGACGTGAATTTGCAGCTGCAGGGTTTTGTACATGGGGGGGCAGTGAAATTAAAAACATACCAGTTTTCCTTGACCTTTGACCTTCCGGACAACCAGGTGGGTGTGGCAGATCAATACTGAGCCGGGCAATTAAATGAAAGTGCTTGGATCTCAGTGCTCAAGGGTCATGGAAGGGTTAGTTGACGCTCCGTCAGTAGTAGCTTCCTGAGTTGGAAGCTATTTAAAGCCCAAAGTTGAGAATTACTTTCTTTTCCGTCACAAAGCAGCGCAGGGTGAACAGATGAAAACCTGCCTCGAGTATATAATTAGACTCAAATGAAACATAAGTCTGACACTGTGGTGCGATTAGAGGTTTTTGGATTTCCCGGTTTAGCAGGCCTCCGTTTCTGGAAAGCTCCCCCTCGCCACTTCAGCCCATTCCTGTCTCCAAAGCCAGTATGAGGAAATGCCGGGTGCCGCAGGAAGTTTGCGCGACCACAGCAGCAGAAGTAGAAGTGCGCTGTGGCGAGGCCCTCTATTGACTTTTATTCCCCCTGAAGTCTGCTCCGAAAACAACCACTGAGCTGCCATTATTTTACGAGGACGAGTCAGGGAATTGTCCTGGGGAGTGAATCACAGTTGCCTCCGCGCAGAATTGTTTCATTTATCCTAAATTGTCATGACCGCAGAGGCTGAAACGGCCATCGCACCACTGGCAGCACGTTTGTCTGTTATTCGGAGCCTGAGGGTTTCGGTGTGTTTATGTGTTTGCGATCCTGATCTTTCATGTTTCCAGAAATAAGAAGTTGAAATAAATATTTGAGCGATTGGTCTATCTAGTTTTATTTGACAGTTTTGATTATGAATCGATCTTTTGAAATCATTTAACAACCAGTGCATCAAACACTGTGGCTCTGGTTTCTCAGAAGTGAGCAGAGAACCGTTTTTCTTTGTTTTGTACCATTGTAGCTGCTTTTAATCATCCGCTGAACTCCAGACATTTTCCTTAAGTCGTTAATGTGAACACAACTGTTAAAGTCAGTGGCTCCCGACATTTTCTGGAATCGTTCTTGCCGTGGGCCTTGTAAAATATCTGGAAAACGCTCAGTGAGCCCATGTGAGGATACAGCAGGAACATTTCCAGAAAACTCAGCGAGAGAGTGGGCGTGTTGATGTGAACGGAATCCGAAATTTCTCAGGAAAGAGAATCCAATCACGTGACAGTTAGAGACGAAGAAGGATTCTCGAGTCAGACGCAGGTGTTGATGAGCTGTAAACTAAGATTCTGTGTTTTCTGCATCGTTGTCGTTATGTCCGTCCTCCTGCTGCTCTACCCAGGCGACACGCCTCCCCTTCCTTCCAGAGATGTCCCCGTCTTTGTGGATGCGTCTGAGCGGACGGTCTCCTGCTGCGTTCCTCATGTGTGAAACGCAAACTCAGGAAAATGTCTCCACCTGATTTCCAGCCATTTTCTGAAGTTCATGTCTGAAAGCTACGACACATCAACCTCTGGGATGCTAATTATTTTTGGTGTTTGTCATCTCTCCCCCCTCTTTGCTCAGTGAGCACCGGTAGCCTTGTCTTGTCAGATCCAGAAGCTACTGACTTCCATGATTACAGGGCGAGGGAGGGGTCTGGATGGCATGCTTTGATCCACCCACTAATCCCACTCCTCCAGTCCCACAGAGTGAATCTGCAGGGCTGGTGGAAGGGGGGGTGTCCTCGGTGACAAATTGGGTTAAACAAAATCCTGGCAGCAGAACAGTGGTACGTGATTTATGATAAGGAAAAGGTCAGGGCGCGTGTGCTCTAACGCTCGGAACACGGAGGCAGGGCCTCGGCCAAATGAAGAGGAGGTGAAGCAGAGCGATTATTTTCTCTGGACCAAAATTCTCATCAACGGCTCCGTGGTGATTGATAGCTTCCAAAGCGGAGTTTTGTCTTTCAGTGGGTCCTTCCTCTTACGCATTTAATATCCTCGGGTTAGTTTGACACTCGGGAGTGTGTGTTGACGTTGGTTGTGAAGTTGTGTGACCTGCTTCACACTGAGGCTTTCGGTGAAAGTGTATCACTCACACAAAAAAGGGATGTGCTTACCCTCGCTGTAGCTTCCCACTAGTTAACTGTTGCTGCCGTTGGCCGACCCTAATAATAATAAAAGTTCAACCGTTGGCACTGATCCCAGTTTGTGCTCTAGTGCATTATCATTAAGTTAAAGTGCACGCTGAGCAGAACACAAAGGGAAGCGTTTCTCATGATTTGAGCTTTTAATGGTTTTTTGAGGGGACATTTTGAAAATGGTTGAAAAGGGAAATGTCCATTCATGAATCCTCCTTCTGCAACAATGGGAACGTTACACGGTTTATTGTGGTCATCAGTAAGTAAATTAAAAAGCAATGAGCTGTAAATGTGTGTAAATGGTTGTAGTGGGATGAGTAAATGCAGTAGCGTGACATGCAAAAACGGTTTCAGTTGTAACAGGATGGGAACAAATCGTGTACTTTTGGGTGAGTTTCAGACCTCGTACACGCAGAGTTATTCATTTAATTCTTCCATTCTGGTCTCTGTTCCACATTTAACAGGTGTCAAAAACTGGAGCGTTTAGAAAAATCCTCTCTTGAGTTGCTGCAACAGGAAACTTCTGGTGCCTTGTTACATGGATGCAAAAAGACCCAACGCATGACTGCATTGACCTAAAACATTCATCAGATCTCTGAGAATGAAAAATATTCTTTATCACTTCAAAAACCTTTTTAAAAGGCGAGTGTGGGAACACGTGAACGGACTTCAGGAGACGAAGTAGCACTTGCAAAGAGGGTATCAAGATGACCTTCATTTAGAAAGTCAGTGAACCCCCTGATTATGTATTTTTAATGGTAGCGAGGCATTTGTCTTTACCACAGGACTCTAGAAGGATGCTTAATGAGCGCTGGTGTGTGGAGATGCTTCTCCTGAGCTCAGAGTTACACCTCAAGGAGTCTGAGCCTCAGGCTGCATCTGAAAGACAAAGACCGAGCTCTGCGCTCTCTTTTGCAGTGTTTTCTTTCTTGTTAGTGAGGTAGTTGTGAATGCCTTTGGGATGACTCAAGCGGATATGTCTGTGTGTGTTGCTGTGCTTTTGTTTCTTTGTGTGTGTGTGTGTGTGTGTGTACTTGCCTGTTATATGTATGTCAGTGGGAGATGTTACAGTACCTGTGTTCACATTGAATCACTGTTGGCTGAGCCCAGAGCTCCCCTGGAGTTTACCGGTGCTCGACAGGGCTCCAGTTCCCACACAGACGATGCTGCGTCCACTCACAGAAAATGAGGATTTTCCTCTTTGTCCAGCTCCTATTATAAATATTGGCTACTGCTGGCAAGTAACCAGAGTGGATTGGAATTGAGTTTTGTAAAATTCTGCTATTGATACTTTTTTTATTGTCAGGACAGCTAAGACATCGGAGGGTAAAGGACAGAAACACCACAAGCAAAGTGCAGCACAATATTCAAACTCTGCCTTCTTAGGGAAAATTTGAGATTAGACGCCTGATTGGCCACCTCCTGTGGGAAATAGTCTTAAACCAAACTGCTGATGAAAATAATTGCGGGTTCAGCATGGAGTTGTTCCACACAAAAAACACAAGCTTGTTTTCTTTTTTTTTTTGGCTTTCTGTGGATGAAATAGAATCTGGAGAAGAACGAGCTTTCAGGACCTCAAGCATCTTTCTGAGACAGTTGTTCAAACACGAAAGCAGCAGGAGTGGAGACAATGCAAGAAAATTGGGTTTAGATGGCAGCATAGTGTTGATAGCTGCACACAGGAACTGAGCAGTATCACTAGTAAGTGAAGAACAGATACGGTCTGAATATTATTTACACCATCTGACAAATTTAAATCCTCTCTTCACTCGTCTTTTAGCTCTGGTTTGGTCTCTACCAGCTTTTAAGGGTCTGGATTTTTCGCTCGTTGGTTTTATTCAGTAGCTACATGCAAACTCGTTCCGGCTGCTTCTTGATGCAAGAGTACAATGTGTTTCTGAAAGTTCTCTGAGTCTAAAAACCAAGTTTAATTAACTGTAGCAGTCATGAACCCAAACAGCTAACGAGCTGAAAGAGGCTGAAAAGCTCCGTAGAGCTGCACAAGTTTGCAAACCTCTTCTCATTAAACAGTCATTTGACTTTGTGTTTAAATATTTTCCTCTTCATTTAAAAAGAAAAAGGAAAGAATGAATAGACGACTTTGATGGACAAGTCTATACCCCTGCTTAGCCATTAGCTGTAACTCTGTGGGACCACTTATTTTGTTTTCCAGTACATTCACGTATCTTTTTTTTTTTGTTTCCTTAATTGACTTCACAAGTAAAATAGTCGCTAGATTGCCAGTTATGCTTGTAAGACTGAAAGCGCCGTCTTGCTGAGCTGTGCGTGGTTGGAAATGAGATCATAGAAAGTGAACTGAAAAACGAGATGGTAAATGCCAGCCCACCTACTTCTCTCAAATCTCTGTTTGTGGGGAGGAAGCGGTGACCACCATAGACACCAACCCTGCCTCCCTCAGGGGTAATT